AAGCTTCTTTATCAGCCTTTCCTGAGAATGAAATTGATGCGTTGGTGGACTCAGATTTTGTAAATTGGTACAAGTATCAGGTATATATATACACACATTAATTATATATATTACCTAATGTTTACCTAATGTTATTATTATGTTTATATTTACAGATCAATAGTCGTGGGATTGTCGACCCTTTGTTAGTATCATTAGCGTGGGGCCCAGGTGCCAGTGCCAAAGTGTGGCGGCAATATGTGATAAACGGTTACACATATCACACAGCCGATTACGGAGAGGGCCGACCAACAACGAACAGCGGGTTATGTGTCCCGACCATCGGTTATGATAACTCGGAAACCAATTTTTTTGGTGTCCTGCAGGAGATTCTGGAACTTGAGATGCCTTCTGGTGCGAAAAAATTGACATGCGTTCTGTTCCGTTGCACATGGGTCGACCCCACACGTGGCGTGCGCAAAAATCCGAAGTATAATATGATTGACGTCAACCACTCTCGTGTGTACCCGAAAAATGAGCCTTTCATACTCGCCCAACAAGCAGCGCAGATTTATTATGCAGAATATCCTTCAACAAGGCGGACACAGAATCCTTGGGTGTGTGCATGTCCTGTCCGTCCGAACAAAATAAAATCACAAACTCAACACAAGGACGTTGATCTAGATGCTTTTCAGCAACAATTTTTCCAACCTCCGCCTATTGTTGAGACGGTCAACTATAACGTCCAATTAAGTGATCCAAATGGCGGACATGTTGAAGTCATGCCAGAAACGCACCTTCCGGACCTAACCATTCCATCTGAGCGCGAAATTGAGGAAATGTATGTAGCACAACAAAATGCTCAATATCAGGAAGAAGGTGAATGGATAGACAGTTCAGATACAGAAGAAGACACTATATATGTAGAAAATAACGATTCTGACAGCGAGTAATTGTGCTGTTGTAATTTCAATTTTGTGATATATTTCTCCAAGCATATTTGATAATTTCTTTCATCATTATTGTTTGTAAAATAATTACTCCTTAATCTGTTCTATACCACATAAATTCAAAGCAGTTTATTTAATACTCCACAGTCCACACTACAATTACGATGGAATTAATAGTTATTCATATAATTACAATAGTAATAATAATAATAATAATAATAATAATAATAATGTTAATAATTATATTAACATTATTTGTAATATTATAATAGTAATATAAACACAATTAATATTATTATAACGATATAATAATAATAATAAGAATAATAATAGTAATTATTATTATTAATAATAATAAATCATGTCCGAATTTTTCTGATCTGCTCTGATTTGAATAAAATAAGAATAAACAATAAGTAATAACTAACACAAAGACGAACAGAACAACACCTTATTCATTTTTTGGTTTAATAAGTTGTGTACATAGTTTCAGACGACACATTCTTGTACGCATCATATCTCAGTCAATTGGTTCTTTATTAGTCATTTTTTAGCATAAAATGTTTGGGTGGCAGGAAAATGAAATTATAAATTTAATAGTCACGGTTGTAGTCACGGTCAGGACCGTGACTACACCCTTCGTAAATGCCGAAGTCAGGGCCAACGGTCAGAGGGGCGCTGACCACAATAGTCACGGTCATTGCCGTGATTATGACCGTGACTACTTTCAAATTTTAAAAACAGTCACGGTTATAGTCACGGCTTTGACCGTGACTATTCCGGTTAAAGCGGCTCTGACCGCCTCGCTGACATCGTCAATTACGAAGGGTTTAACAATAAGGGTGGGGTCAGGGTAGGTGGGGTAAGGGTAGGTGGGGTAAGGGTAGGGTGGGGTCGGGGTAGGTGGGGTTGGGGTCGAGGTGGGGCAGGGATAACAATAGGTTACGGGCAAGGGGTAAATTCGGAAACTGAAAAAGCTTAAAGTGCCGCTTAATTAATACATGGGGGGTGGTATGCTTAATAAGCGGCACTTTAAGCACCTCTTTCGGTTAGTAAGCGGCTTTTTAAGCAGTGTGCGTGTTTACTTCACCTGTCTTACTAACCTAACTGTGACTTTAGCAGTGAAGTAAACACCTCCTTAGCGTTTTTTTTAAAAACCTACGCACCCAAACTCCCAAACCCTAACTTCCTCTTCCTTCTCTCTTCCCTCTCTTCCAGTTTAGATAGTGCCGCCGTCGCCGCCTAGCCGTCGCCGCCTAGCCGTCCGCCGTCACCGTCTAGCCGTCCGCCGTCGTCCTCCGGCCGCCTTCGTCCACCTTCTTCCGTCGGCCCTTCTTCAGTCAAGGTTATGTGTTCTGTTCATCTTATTTTGTAATATTTGATTAAAATTCCAAAAATGCATGATTGTATACTCAAATGCATGATAAGATGCATGATTTTTAGTTTCATATCATTTTGTAATCTTCAAAAGTTGTATGTATGATTTATTATATGCATGATTTGTAGTTTTGCATGATAATTTCGTTTTATATGTTTCATATGCATGATTAATATATGTTCAAATGTAGATTATTTTATGTTTAATATATGTTCATATGCATGATTAATATATTTTCGAACTAATGCGTGCTTATACAATTAGTATGATGTTTAATATATATGTTTAGTGTTTGATTTGCATGCCTCTCTATACATATGCACTACTTTAAATTTAATTTCCGAAAATATTTAATTTAGGTTAATATTTAAAAAAAACTGTTTAAATAAATAGCCCCTCGTGTTAAACTTCCAAAAATAGTTTAACACGTTTAAATATAATTTCCGTAATATCCATTAACAAAATATTAAACATTTAAATTTAATCCCGAAAAAAACTGGACGAAACACTGTTTTTTATAATAGTATAAGCATAAAAAATTATATTTATTTTTTATATTATAAACTGTTTTTAGATAAACTGTTTTTCCAAAAACTGTTTTTATACAAACTGTTTTTATATAAACTGTTTTTATAATTTATCTAAAAAAAACTGTTTTTATAAAAACTGTTTTTATAAAAACTGTTAATTACAAACTGTTTTATTAAACAGATTTTTGTAAAAAATAGTTTTTATAAAAACTGTTTTAATAAAAAGTGTTTTTATAAAAACTGTTTTTATACAAACTGTTTTTATATAAACTGTTTTTATAATTTATCTAAAAAAAACTGTTTTTATAAAAACTGTTTTTATAAAAACTGTTTTTATAAAAACTGTTAAGTAAAAACTGTTTTATTAAACAGTTTTTTGTAAAAAATAGTTTTAATAAAAACTGTTTTAATAAAAACTGTTTTTATACAAACTGTTTTAATATAAACTGTTTTTTTAATTTATCTAAAAAAACTGTTTTTACAAAAAATTTTGTAAAATATATATATAAACTGTTTTATATAAAATGTTTTATTAAACAGTTTTTTGTAAAAAACAGTTTTTATAAAAACTGTTTTAATAAAAAGTATTTTTATAAAAACTGTATTTATAAAAACTGTTTTTATAAAAACTGTTTTAATAAAAACTGTAAAAATAACAACTGTTTTAAAAACTCTTTTATTAAACAGATTATTGTTAAAAATAGTTTTTTGTAAAACTTGATTTAACAAACTGTTTTAAATTTATTTTAAAATGATATATCTAAAACATAAAAAAATGATCTCCTCTCATGTAAATTTTGCAAAAAGTTTAACATGTTACCTCCAAGGGCAATTTATTGCCAAATTATAGAAGAACTTATTGTGAAAAAATATGGACCCCTCATATTAAACTAATAGATAGTTTAATATGCTATAGAAGAACTTATTATGAAAAAATATGGACCCCTCATATAGAAGAACTTATTATGAAAAAATATGGACCCCTCATGTTACCTCCAAGGGCAATTTATGATAATACTTGTATAAATTTTTATAGTGAAAAATAATAAATGTACCCCAAACTTTGAAAGGGTGTGAGGTAAGCACCCCAAACTTGCATAAGTAATTTAAACACCCCAAACTTTATATAAAGTTTGGGATATTTAAATTACATATGAAAGTTTGTGGTGCTCTGGTCACATCCCTTCAAAGTTTGGGGTATTTTTATTATTTTTCCCTATAAAAATTTAATAAACTGTGTATAAGTTTAATATGAGTGGTTCAATAATTTCTAATAAACTCATCCTATAATTTATCAATGAGTTGACCCAGTCGATCGAAGAATCGATCAGTTGGAGCTTGTCAATGAGTTGACCTAGTCAATTCTTAGATAAGCTCCAATCTGTCGATTCTTCTGGCTACGGCTTGAGCCATCGATGGACTCCCAAACGCATGTACTGACATTATGTCGCTACATGTGATGTAGCCCATCCATGGTTCAAGGCGTAGCCTGAAGAATCGTCAGGATGGAGTTTATCAATGAATCGACTGGGTCAACTCATTGATGAGCTCCAACCGGTTGATTCTTCGGTCGACTGTGTCAACTCATTAATAATTATAGGATTTGTTTATTAGCAATTATTGGAACCTGATATTAAACTTATACCCATTTTAATATGTTATATACATTGACAATTGACAATACTTACATAAAAATTTGATCTTCTATTATAAGCGTTCTAACAAAAAACAAAATAAATTAATATATTTTAGATGAGCAACGAACAATCGACCTCGGCTCCCCGCCCTAACTATGCGCCCATGTCCGAAGCGGAGCGCAACAACGAAGGAGCTGTTTGGGTGACCCCTGCAGAAGTTCTTTTGTAAGTAGTTATGAAGAAACCTTATTTTCAATAATTTTATATAATGTTAAATAATCTAACCAAATCTTATATAAATAAATACTATTAATTTTTTTAACTGACGAAGAAGTGTTCAAAGGCATCAAAAGCATAATCGGAGGACACTTTCTTGGCACTTGGGCCACGTACTCGGATGTTGACCCCAAGATTCGCGAACTATGGTGGAACCTGTTCAAGGTAAAAATAAATGAATGTTCCCTCCCTGATTGTATTGGCCTAATATATACCTACTGATTAATTAATCCAATTTGTTTTAATAAAGGGTCGCTATCGTTGGACTCACGCAAACGGTGCCGATATTCTTAAAGCCTACAATGCTAGGATTTCGACTTGGCTTCACGCCACTTTTAAACGTGCGCGAAAAAGTTCGAAAAAGCCTAAATGGGTTTCGGATGAAGTGTGGTCCAACCTTTGTCGCCACTGGTCTTCTGATCCGAAATTCTTGGCCAGAAGTGAATCCGGTAAGAAAAACCGGATGTCCGAGAAGGCCTTGGAGATGCAGTGGCACGGGGGTCGCAAATCTCAGAATGCCCATAAAGAAACTCTTGTAAGTGCTATTCAAAAAACCTTACACCATCACAATCCTTCATTATAAAAAATTTACTTAAGTCTTTTTCACACCATTTAGGCTGGTCCTGAGAAGAAGAGGGTTGGTGTTCTCCGGCTCGTCAAGCATTGCTGGACGAAGCACGGCGAGGAATCTGAAGCCGATCTGCCACCCCGCCTCGCTGACTTCGAAGTATGTAGCATCATATTTTGTTATTTAGTAACATTTCAAATCTAAGTATGTAGCATTTAAAAAATATTTTTTGAAAATGCAGACGAAGTACAACGAATCCGTTGACAGGCAGCGTGCGGCACGAGGCTTGACCCAGGAGGACGACCTCGATTCCGATGCGGATGATGAGGCGGCCATTGAGGCGGCAGGGGTTTACAAGGGCCGGGTTCCGTGCTTGGGGGCCGAGGGGCAACGGATTTTGTATGATCGAAGCACCGGCGCTTCCTCTTCTCGGTCAAGGCGGGGAGAAGATCCTCGTATTGCTACACTGCAGCGTGAACTGGAGGAGCACGAACGGCGATGGGAGGAGCAACGGAAAGCAGATGAGGCCACAAAAGCCCGGTTGGAGGAGATGGAACGGTACATGCGTGCCGGATTCCAGCCTCCGCAACAGCCTTTTCCTCCCCCGTACGTATTCCACCCCGAGCAAACTCCTCAAGTTCCGCACATGGGCGGTATGGGATTTTTCCCCAACTCCGGATACGGTGGCATGCCTATGATCTCCCCGAATTTCGGATCTATGTCCTTTGATTTTGCGAGGTCATCCGGAGGAGGTAGTGGTCCACCGAGCCATGGACCCCGAGGAGGACCCCGAGGAGCACCCCGAGGAGGAACCCGACCTGACCCCGAAGACCCCCCCGTGAACCCAGATGAGTTTCTTGTTGATGATGATGATGAAGAAGAAGAAGAAAATCCTAATTTTTTTCATAATGGAGTCCCACGAAGGGACATGTAATCATCATACATTTGTACTTTGTTGTTTGTCAAAACATTTAAAAGTTTGTCACAATATTTATTAAGTTTGTTGTATGTCTTTACTCTTTAAAATGTAATTTTAAATTTAAAAAATTAGAATAATATTTTCAATAACTCAATAGTATAAAAACATGGATAAAAATTAGAATAACATTTTTAAATTTAATTTGTAAAAATACGTATTAAAAAGTAATTTTTAAAAACAACTTTAAAAAAAATGGATTTTTTTTTTTAAAAACAAAAATAGTAGTCACGGCCTTATCCGTGACTACAGTTAATTCGAAATTATCATTTGTTTTTAATAAAAAACATTATTTTTTTTTTTAAAAAAGCTTAGTCACGGTCGACAACCGTGACTAATTTCAAAAATTTAGATTACACCCGCGGGCGGTCTTTTGAAAATTTTGAAAATTTGTAAAATTAGTCACGGCCCACAGCCGTGACTAATATTTATTTAAAAAAAAAAAAATTATAGTCACGGTCACAAGCCGTGACTAACACGTCGGAGTGGGGTTTCCGGCATGAAAATAGTCACGGTCCTTGACCGTGACTAATCCGTGACTAAATTTAGTCACGGTTATGTGGCGGTGACTTCATTTAGTCACGCCAATTAAGACACGGATTTAGTCACGGCGAATGACCGTGACTAACCTTTTTAGTCACGGAATTTTTACACTGCAGTCCGTGACTAAATCCGTGACTACGCCCGTGTTTTTTTTGTAGTGTTAGGTTAGCCTTATAAGTTTGTTTATCTCATGTTATTCGTATCATCGTATGAAAGATCTACGGTGTCACAAGGGGTAAGTCTCGGGTTCGAATCCCGACAACTGCGATGAGAGGTTACTATGCTAAAAATGCATAAGGCCTATGCAAATAGCAGGGGTCAGAGCCGCACTTTCTATCTGTCAGCTAACTATTAAAGTCTAATTTATATTCACCCATCTAATTGTGTAGTCGGTGTTGGAGGGCCCAAGTATCCTTTTCCAAAAGTTGACTACTCGCCTGCGCACTAACGAAGCTACTAGGCTACTATACTCCTATACTCCTATACCCCACTTGTTCTTGATCTACGGTATTCCTAGGTAGCTATTACTTCTATCGTTTTAGTTTACTATTCTCCAATCAATAATTTTTTACTTTATAGCAAGTATATCTAACATTTATTAAATTTGAGTATTTTTTGTGATTCTATAAAAAATACAATGTCATTTATGAATATGTAATTTTACTCACTAAACAAATCTAATTACAGATAAAGATCATTTAACTTAATAGTCAATCAAACATCGTAAATCTTGTGAGAACCTCTCTACGAGACTATCATATACGCACTAATTTAACTTAATAGTCAATCAAACATCGTAAATCGTGTGAGAACCTCTCTATGGGACTATCATATACGCACTCCATATGTAAATTATATTTCCACGTGAGAATTGAAGCTGCAAGTTGGTTGACGTCGTACTAGCTGATCAATCAAGAATGGAGGCTAGCTAGCGAGACTATCATCAACGAGTACTATAAATTTGATCAAAGGAGTACATCATGATATTGCATGTAAGAAAAACCTACTCTTTGACATATTCAGTCTTTCTTTTTGTTTGTGAATTGGTTTCTCTCCTCTAGTCCTCTTCTCCCCAACAAAAGAATGGCTGCCAATAATATACCACCATTTTTAACCGGCCTTGATGAAAAAACACAGTTGCATGAAGCTACACGCCGTTCTGCCAACTATCATCCCAGCATTTGGGGAGACTTCTTCCTATCATTTTCTTCTCCACAAATGGTTGGCTACCTGACTTTATTTACTGTTAAAGAGATGTTAAATTGTTAATTATGTTGGATAGTAATATAGCATTACAGACAACAAGGCAACACTTCTTAAATGACATGCTTTAGCTTCACTTGCGTAATACTCTTTCCTCCGTCCCTAAAAGAACTTAAATGACTTTTAAACTCTTATTTTTATATGTCAAAATTTTATGAAAATTAAATCATTTTTTGCAGGTTTTGAATCGATATTAATGTAGTTTTTGAATATGTAAATTTTATTTACTAAAAATAATTCGAGTTTTCACAAGGATCATTTAACTTTATAGCTGGTCAAACTTCGTAACCCGCAATTGAAATAACATTTAGGGATGGGGTAGTAAATTGCATTCTTAAATATTCAAGCACAAACTTTATCCATAATGGACCTCCAAAGGTGCATATCGTTCATTTCTATTGCGTAATCACATTATTTCTAACTTGAGTTACCTTTTTAATCATTACTATAACATAGATTATACTTCCCGCGTCCCCAAAAGTTCCTCAATTTGACTTTTCTTGGTTAATGACAATCAACTTTGACCAATGATATTTTTTAATACAAAATTATTTTTAATATGAAAATTATATCAAAATGTTCCTATTTAAAATATTTTCATAAAAGTAAAAAATTAATAAATTATATACGAATATAATAATTATTAAAATGATTGTCCAAAGTTTGACATCATTGACTAAGAAAAGTCAATATGGTGAACCTTTTCGGGATGAATGTAGTAGTAATTTTTATTTTAAATACTCCGTATTATATTAATGTATCCTCTCAACATTTGTCAGTAAATTTTCAACAATCTATGACCTAACTAGTTTTTCAAAAACTAGAGATAATTACCCTAGGTGTGACCAAAATTTATTTAGTTTCCCAATCTATGACTTAACTAGTTTCCCCCCCAAAATAATATTAATATTCATAATATTTAATTAAAATTCGTAATTAATAAATAATAAACAATTTTTATGGACAAATATACCCTTTAGCTTATACCTATAAAACCTTAACCTCCTACCTATTTTTTCAACCCTAGCCAGAACCTCCCAACGCCCACCCGCGAAGCCGCCCCGCCGTCTAGCCACCGCCCACCTTCCAGCGACGCCTTCTTCCACAAAACTCCGGCATGTGAGCAAAGTCGCCGGACCAGAACTCCGGCATGGCCTGGGGAAGGTGTCCGCCCGGTCTGAGTGCCAAGACGCCGTTCGACGTGAATCTGTTGCCCGCCGCCCAGCCGCCGCTTGTCGTACACCTCCGTTCGCAGATGAGCCGTCCCACAACTTCCTCTCCATCTCCGGCGTGGTTAACAAGCCTTGCAGATTTGTGCGCCGCAGTCCAAATCTGGTAAACGAGCCGTGCAGATCCACACCAATTTAAGGGGAAAAACCTAAAACTTATTTTAGAAAAAGAGTGGAGGAGTCGATTTAGATTTTAGGTATTTCCCTTCCATACTAGGATCTGCTTTTCCTAATGGGATCTGCGTAGGTTTTTTTTGATCATCAAAACATGCCTCTATTCATATCAAAAGATTCACCAGGATCATTACATCAAGCAAAGAGAAAATAAAACAGACACCAACCGAAACTCCAACAACTACGACTGTAACCCTATGGTGAGACTTTGAGACGGTCACCCCTGAGAGAGCAACACGAATCGCTAACCATGTAGTGGGCTTGACACAGCCAAAACTATTCCAATAGATCCAACCATACCCAATGACATAAAGAGAGGCAAAAACTCAAACAAACTGTCAAACCCAACAACAAGAATGGACGCAAGAAAACAAATAACAAGAAGATAAAAACTACAAGAAAAACGTTCACGAACTCTAGCACCTCGTGCATTCCATGGTGGTGGTTCAGGAGGAGGTCGTACCACTGGTACCATGCTAATTGATCCACCATGACCTTTGACTGCCAAAGACCATGCATCAATCCTCCGTCCCTGCATAATCAAACCATCCCTGCTTCGTGCGACCAGAGTAAGCGGACAGGCAGCGCCGATCTTCTCCAACGACGACAGCAACGCCGCATCCTCGAAACTTGACCACAGCGCCGATCTCCTCGAGCCATGACAACAAATCTGCCCTCCTCCACTGATCTCCGCCCTCCGCGTCTGACCTGGACTCCAGTCGAGCACCAGCGACCAAGGGATAACAAAGCCGATCTTCGATAAAGTCGAAATCGCAAAAAGGCTCCAGCGACCAAGGGATAACAAAGCCGATCTTCGATAAAGTCGAAATCGCAAAAAGGCTCCAGCGGCTGACATAGTCAAAGCCCTAGAGAGAAAAACTCGTGATCGCTCTACCTTAGCCAAAAGCAGACCACTGCTCCGCGACCAGATATGCGAACAAGAACAGCCGAACTTCGATCAATATGATCGAATTCGAAAAAAAAAGCCTAGAGGCGGCTGCCCTA